CTTAGAAATGCCCATAAATATCTGCAGGGGGGGGGTCAGGAGGACGGGGCCAGACTCTTTTCAGTGGTGCCCAGTGACAGGACAAGGGGCAATGGGCACAAACTGAAGCAGAGGAAGTTCCGTCTGAACATGAGGAAGAACTTCTTCCCCCTGAGGGTGACGGAGCCCTGGAACAGGCTGCCCAGGGAGGTGGTGGAGTCTCCTTCTCTGGAGATATTCAAGACATGCCTGGACAAGGTCCCGTGCAACCTGCTGTAGGTGACCCTGCTTTGGCAGGGGGGGTTGGACTAGATGACCCACAGAGGTCCCTTCCAACCCCTACCATTCTGTGATTCTGCGAAGCTTAGGAATCCTTCACCATCAGGTATGTTAAACAATCAAATCTACATACTACCTACCCATACAGTATCCCAGGGATAGTTTTCTTCCACATCTGAAAAATTAAAATTCTTATAGGTGGGCAACACAGTATCTCTGATACATAGCTGACATATCAGCAGTTTTCTGCAAAACTGGTTCCAAATCTTTCTGCTGCCAAAGACTATTCACAAAACTGATGCTACTTTTTCTTGTGGTACAACCGGAGGAGAGTCTTGTGGAAATGTTAGCCCTGCCTTCTCTCTTTCAAAAACCATTGTGAACTCTTTCCTTAAGAACAGCAACCTCCCTTTCAAAGAAATCCTTTCTTGTAGCCTTACAAATGTGTATGCTGTGTCCCCAGTTCTAAGGAATTTTCCCTATTAGAGCACTTAGATATGAAAATTCATTGAACTAAGGTTTTAGTCACTTATGTCCATACTACCTTGATAGTCAGTCTCCTACAATCCATAATAAGAGTTTCCTGTTTCAAGGGCCAGTTTATCTAATGTGTGTAACATGGCAGTTTTCACACTTACAGTGATACAATGTCAGTGATGTTATATCAAGAACTTTTGACAGTTGTGTGAAGTAGTAAGCACTATTCTTATTTGACTTTATCTAAAGCACTGTTGTTTTCATCTCAGAGTGCACTGAAGTCTCCACAACTGAAAAAGGTACATAGAGCCTTGAAACAAATTATGGAATGAGGACATGATAAAATAATACATTTATTAGATTTATTCAGCAGCATTTTCCAGTTGACTTTTCTAATCAAAGTACATTACAAAGTAATTATAAGCATTCTAATTAAAAATGGTATATATTTTGAGAACTCAGATAGGATCAATCAATTATCAGAAGTCTCAATGATTAGAACTTTAGGAACTTTTAAATTATATGAGTAGCTAGCCAGGAATGCAGAAGAACATGTTCCTGCAGTGGTACTCAGAGTTTCCTCAAACAGTTCTCGTTGTGGAAACTACCTTGGCTAATTAATAGAAAAGCTAATAAGATGTGCAGTATGTTCTGATGGAAGGTTATAGAAATAGCCAGATAACTACAAAGACTGCATTAGTAGAAATTGTTTCCCTTTCTATTAATATCCACCTCAGGAAATAAATAGTCAATAAAATTAAATTTTCACATTAAAAAACCTGAATAATTTCTTAAATGAACCAATATCTTTCCTATTTTGCTATTTGGAAATAAGCTGTTATAGAAATCTACCTACTTCATTTAATAGTACAAGTTACTTCCAGAGACTCCAGTCAAGAACAAAGCTATTCCATTGATGAGCAGGAGAAAATCTCATTAAATTAAGTACTTGTGGCACTAAAATCTAAATATATCAGATCTTTTTAAGAACACTACTAATGGAATGGTGTTAATTGGAAACTAGAGGAAAAGTATGTGTCTTATGGATTGAGAGGAAATTTTTTTATAATCTCAGGCAGTGAAAATATTGTATGAACAACATTTTGCACAGGTAACTATTCAGCACAATGCTGCTGCATTGGCTCTTCCATTTTTTGTTTAATACAAGATAGACACCCATACAGTAGTATACAAAATAGGTGGTAAGGATGCCCAGAGCACCAGTAGAACTTTTAAAAGGTGCTGTTATAAATATATACTCTAAAGATCCTGTAAATCAGTAATGTTCCTATATTTGCCTTGTTTGGTTCTTTTTTAGTTGAAGTATTTATCTAATGAATTTATCCCTAAAGATACGACCAATTCCATACAGATTTCTACTAGCAACATCACCAAACAAGATAATCTTTCAAAAATTTACAAATGTACAATATATTTATAACATTACTTTCAGACAGCTTCAGTGCAAAGATATACATATAGTACATCACGATAATTGTTCACAAAAATAGAAATTGGCATTTATCAAAAAACAAGGCATAGTTTCAACATACATCTCCAGCCATTGGCTAAGAGATGTATATATTTTTATAAAGCATTTGAATGTGAACCTTACTTTTCTGTTTATAAAAAATACATGTGCAAATGGATGTGTCTAATTTTCTCTAAATCAGTTACCTAGTTATACCACAGAGTCCTCTTTAACAAGATTGGCGGTGTCTTTAAATGTATCCTCTGTTGCTGTATAAGCTAATGGTTGGTCTCTCTTCAGAGTAATCTTGGGAGGCAGTGAAGGAGAAGGGGTAGGAACATTTTCTGTGTCCTGTTGCTGTTCCTTTTCCATCTGAAACAATAATAATAAAATCCAAGTTTACATTCTAATGTACAAACCAACCAACCTTAACTTTCAGAAATGTTTAATAAATATCCAAGCATTTTGCTGAAGTCAAGTGTCATGGTGTAAGTCACTTCTGCAAATCACCACCTGTAACAAAATTAAATGCTAATTTCACCTCAGATGGTACAGCTGAGTAAACACACTACTACAAACTTACTCCACACACTGAGACTTCTATTTTAATGCTTAATGTCAGGAGTAGCTTGATATGTCTATATGCATATACATGAATGTAGATAACATTGGCTCTACTACTCTTTGTAAATAGTTACATTCATTAGTGTTGGGGAAATGAATCCCTGGCTTCCTGAACACTCACCCTCTCACCTTGTTCAAGCATTAGAAACCTAAGTTCTTCACAACAGGCAGCTAGTGTTAGTCATGTGACTGTGG